GGTTGAACTGTTGAGCAAAAAATCGACTGAATAATTGCAAAAAGAATTTCTTTAAGAGTGATTTAGAAGTTACTTCAATCTTGATAATCAGTGCAAATAATTTTCAATTTTAATAGACCATAAAAGCTATGGTACTTCTAAAGCATTTTCAAGCTGAATGTGTCTGGACATTCAGGTGTGTAGAGTAGATATAACCAACAAAATCGACAGTGTTTATAAAAAAACTGTTGTATTTGTTTCGTTTTTTTCCTTTTTTTTTTTGTAAATATTTAAAATTTTTTAATTAAAGTCTAAATAAAAGTTAGGTACAAAGCAGTATTTAAAATAAATGTGAAGTGAAGAAAAATTAGGTAACAACTGAATGGTAAAGATTGTTCTTTTAACCATTTTATTCTGACAGCAGTATGACTGAAAAATCAAATCCAAATTTAGTTACGTTAGCCATTTAAAAGGAAATACTTATTGCTTCAACAAAGAAAAAGAAGTGCTGATAATAAAGAAATTTTATTAAAAATTTTTTAAATTATTCAAAGGAAAGAATTGCTAAACAAAGTTCTAGCTTACAACATGTTAACAGCTGGTTATTTGACTATCACTTGTAGAAAAAGATGTCTACTTCACTTTTCGACAAACTTTATTGTAAAGGTTAACGTAACTTTGGCCGGTAATATAAACACAGAAAAAATGCCACACAAATAAATAAGGTGAACTATAATATTATTTAATCTGTACATAAATGTAGTGGCATTGGCACTTCCGTAAACACTGTGTCATATATGAAAATAAATAAATAATTATTACATATTTGTTACCATTTATAATTTTTATAACAACAGTTTTCCTAGTGAAGTGTCAGAGCTTAAGTTTTACTGTTGAAGAGGTGTGATACAAATAAGCAGTAAAGATCATCTAAGGATGTTGCTTTCTTTTCTGTTGAAATTTTACAGCTTTTTGTTTTTTGAGCCCTATTAAAATAGAACTCTAAAACTGTACTAATGATACGAGTAGTTCATCAAACTATTGTAATAAAAATAAAGAGGACAACTTACTTTGTTAAGCAAACAAAAAAATTTGTAGTCAGTTTTAAGTAAATCAATTATTACCGGTTTAATAAAGCGTAACACTGTTATTTCAGAGTATCTCTGAGAAAAAACAGGAAAGATAAAGTTCAGAAGAAAAAGCTTTTTATTGCTTATATCAGTCAGTGCAGGTGTTTTAGCAGTCATTGATTCTATATTTGAGCAACAAAGTGTTTTTACACCTAAAACATCTGTTATTCAGAAAGTGTTAATATTAATAAAGGTCTAAGATCTACAAAGAGCCAAAGACCTGTTTTTTTTTTTTTT